TCCCGGAAATAGGAAGTGGTGAACAGTGGCTTATGATTTCAGAGGGCTCATCACACATGGTGCAGTAAACTAGATATAAGCTATTAAAAACTACATATTCAGAATATGTAAAAATGAAAGCCTAGTCATATATACAAATGTGTAGGTGCAGAACCCAAGTACTTGACACATTATTTTCTGTCTTCACTTAAGAGGAGAACCAGCTGTAAGCCAAAGACTGTTTCATTCAAATAATCTCATTATTCTGTATTTAACCAAGGCATGTTCTGACATTTAATTTTGTAAGGAAAATATTGAATTTATTTTATTGCTATCCTCATATTAATTTAACTGTGGGGGTTTTGTCCTGTCATCATTATTATGCAGCATCTATGTAAGAATAGGTCAGCTGACTCAAAATGCTGAAGTTATTGGTAGACATACCCATCTGTGAGCCACATCATTCCTTTTAAGATTTTATTGTCCTTGGATTGCAATCATGTCTATTGTTGGGAGAAAAAGCATTACGAGAGAAACAGTTGGATATTACAATTTGGATATGTGGACTTTCGGTTAGTAGATAATATAATTATAGGGGATAACATAATTATAGGGGATTTTCTACATATTCTCCCCATGGTCATTTGCAAAACTGACCTGCTTCCACTTTTAGTTCAGAAACTGATAGAAGTTGGGGTACTACACACATACGCAGCTTGTCTATGTCCATCTGTGAAGCTGTGGAAACATCTTTTAGGTGTCTTTCAAGTGGCCACTACTCCCAGACTGCAAGCCAACAATACAATAGCTACAAGAAGTCATGAAAGCATGTTTACCTTTAATCCTTGTCATCAATGTATAGAAATGTACAGCAAGTACAGTTTTGATATTTGAGATGTCACCACTTCATCTGTGTCTTGTGTATGTGCATACAGGCAGTAGGTTTGCATTTTAGCTAATTCTTACTTACAGGGTGACCCTAGAAGGACGGGTAAGACAATCTCCACATGTCTCATTGCATCACCCCAAGCCTGAACAATGCAAGTCTGGATAATCAGCAGGCACCCTCTATCAGCTGCCAGGCACTAATGAAAACCTCCCAGTGTGTAATGTGAAATAAATGTAAACCACCTGTACAAATTCTGGCTTTCAAAGGCATTTTGTGGGTGTGAGTCAACCACGGCTCTCATGGGAAATTCCTGAAATTTAGGAAATATCTTCTGAAACTTTCTCTCTTGCATGTCCACATAGTCTCTAAGATGCCTATTGTGTTTTGGTGTATCTATTGGTGTATCTACTTTTGCCATCTCATAACTCTTTAGAAGAACTTGCATGTTTCCAATCAGCACCTGAGTCTTTTGGGTTGCCTTGGTGCTGCTTGCCACATAATAAATCATAGTGCCATAGACTGCTTTGGTTTGGAAGAAACCTTAAAGCTCATATAGTTCCAGCCTCCCTGCCATGGGAGGGACACCCTTCACTAGACCAGGTTGCTCAAAGTCCCATGCAACCTGGTCTTGAACACTGCCAGGGATGGGGCAGCCACGAGTCAGAGTTCAAAATGAAGAAGGTAGAAGTTGTAAAAATCAAAGTTATTCTTTGGCCCAAAGAGGCCGAGAGCCCACTGTTCACAGTAAAATTTTCAGAATATGAAAAACTGAAAGCAGAGTAGTGCTAGTGAGCTGCTTGCCACCCCTTGACAGATCTTACCTATTACCCTGTGCTGTCCTCCCCATCCAACCTGTCTGAATCTCCCTGCTGTCACCTGGGCTCTGCATTTTTCAAGGATTTCTACATGGAGATCTTTCCCAGGTGCCTGGATGCAGCAAGCATCTTCCTGGGATGTTGGCTCGCCTACATGAGACTACCATTATCAGTGGACTGCCATGTGGCTTTTTCTAACAATGGCATAGAGTAGGATTCTAAGTGCTATTTCAGAAGAGCAGCACCTGTGTACTCCAGTGGATCTATAGCATGCAACACCAGGAATTAGCTATGATAGAGCTACAAAGCAGTAGTTTCCACTCAGCCCAGAAAGCCATCTGTATGCTGGGCTGCATCAGAAGAAGCGTGACCAACAGATCAAAGGTGATCCTGCCCCTCTGCTCTGCTCTTGTGAGACCTCACTTGCATGCAGTACTTAATGTTGGTGTCACCAGCATAAGAAGGTGCCCTGAGCACAGCCATAACCGTTATTTTTCTCCTTCTTAGTAGCTGGTGTAGTGCTGTGTTTCAGCTTTAGTCCAAGAACAATGCTGGTAATGCAGTTACCACTGCATTAGTGGTAAGTTAGCACTTACCCTGATCAAGGACTTTTCAGTCTCCTATTCTCTGCCAGTGAGGATGGGCACAAGAAGCCAGGAGGAAGCACAGACAGGACACCTGACCCAAACTAACCAAAGGGGTATTCCGCGCCCTAGCATATCATGCCCAGTATATAAACTGCAGGGAGACATAAGGAAGCCCAGATGGCTGCTCGGGTCAGACTGGGTATCAATTGGCGGGTGGTGAGCAATTGTACTGTCCATCACTTGAGTTTATTGTTTGATTTTTATTCTTTTTTTTTCCTTTCCCAGTTTAGTTTTATGTTCTCTCCCCTTGCCAGTTCCCTTATCATTATTATTACTGGTGGTAGCACTAATCATTTTGTATTATACTGTAGTTATGGGACTGTTCTTATCCCAGCCTGTGGGGTTTACATTCTTTCAATTCTCCTCCCCATCCTGCCGGGAGTGGGCAGAGGAAGAAGGGAATCATAAGTGGCTGTGTGGTTCTGAGTTACCAGCTGGGCTTAAACCATGACAGAAAGACATGGAGCTGTTGGAGCAATGACAGAGGAAGGCACAGGAATGATCAGGGGCTTAAGCACCTCCTGTATGAAGACAGGCTGTTCAGCCTGGAGAAGAGAAGGCTGCATGGAGACCCCATAGCAGCCTTCCAGTATCTGAAGGGAGCCTACAAGGATACTGTAGAGGAACTCTTCATCAGGGACTGTAGCAATAGGATAAGAGGTAATAGCTTTAAACTTACAGGGGAAGTTCAGATTGGATAAGGAAGTTCTTTACTGTAAGGGTGGTGAGGAACTGGAACAGGTTGCCCAAAGAAGTGGTAAATGCTCCATCCCTGGCAGTGTTCAAGGCCAGGTTCGACATGGGTGACATGGCTTAGTGTTAGGTGTCCCTGCCCATGGCAGGAGGGTTGGAACTTGATGATCTTGAGGCCCTTTCCAATCCTAACAATTCTATGTTTGATGTTATGATTGTATTTGAATCTTGAAGGAGTTACTTAATGAGGCACAGTTTGTCGGACGGACAGAGACCAAAAGAAAAAGGGGCAGTTATGGCTAAGAACTTCCCCTGTTCTCTAGGGTGTTCAGTGCATCTTTATTGCTCTCTGTGACAGCTTCAAGATGCAGTCTGGGGACATTTCTGTTCATCAATAAATGAATGATAATTTTGATTTCATGAGTAAATTAATGATGACTTTATAGCAGACGTCACCTTATAATCAAACCCAAAATGCGATGTCTTTTTCTTTCATTTACCGATTTTATTTCAGAAAACACTTGGAATCAAGGATATTTTGATCAGGAGAACTCCCTTTTTTAAAATTACCTCACTCCTTGATACTGATTGTCTTTGCTGAATTTCACCTTGGTTAATCAGCTAATCCAAGCTAAAGGGCAAAGGAAAACAAACAAGCCAACAAGAAAAAACCCCAAACCACAGTAAACCCTTGTCACCCCCGTTCCACCCCTGACCAAGCAGTCCGTGCGGGCGCTGATGGATAGAGGGCCGGGTGGAGGAGGAGCTGGGGTACTGCCGCGCGCACTGGCACCCCGGCGCCGGGCAGGGGCGGGCCGCCGCCTGCCCCTCCTGCGCGGGGCGGGACGGGGCGGACCTCGCAGCCGCCGCCCGCCGCAGACGGGCCGTGGCTGCTGGTGTCAGTTCACGTGCCCCTGTCGAGCGCCCGCCGGCCGGCGCGCACTGCAGCGCAGCGCAGCGCTCCTCCGGGTGAGCGCCGCCGGTCTGCGCGGGGGGGGTCTGGGCTGCGACGGTGCGGGGTCTCCCCTCCCCCTCTGCCCGCCCCCATGGGTGGTACCTGGCGGCGGAGGGGTGCCCTGTGCTCCGAGCCGGCCATCCAGTCCTTCCGCGGCTTTCCGCGGTTGGAGCTGCGCGACTCTTCGGGGTTGGACTCACACCCGTTTCGCAGAGGGAAAAAAAGTTTGTGCAGCGGGGCGCGGCGCGGTGCAAACTTGGGCTGAGTTATCTGAGGCTCTGCGGCATCTCCGCTGGGGGACGGGCAGGATGGGGCTGCAGGGCGAGGGATGCAGGGCGCTGCGCGCCTCCCGGGGATGGATGCGCGGCGGGTGGACGGGCAGGGAGGGGAGACCGGGGATGGGTGCCGGGAGCGGTCTGGCTGGGCTCTGCGCTTAGAGTTTTTTGGGCAGAGGACATCCCGGGCGCTTTTCACCGTTCCCATTCAGGTGATTCATAACGGCGAGAGGGTGATTGGCGCATCCGCCGCAAGTCGCTCAGAGCAGCTGTAGCGCTGTTCCGTGCCTTTCCTGCTTAATGTTTTTAAGACAGTCCGGTGGGCAGTAATTCCGAGACGGAAAATAAAATATCTGCTGTGGGGCTGTGTCTTGCAGATGGAGTATAAATCTGTGACATCTTCTTAGTACAGAAGCTGTTTGTAAAAATCAGGAGGAACTGCACATAACTTAATAACTTTTATGCAAATAACTGCAGGGCATATTTGTAACTGTATTTGATAAAACAAAATCAATATTCTACTGATAATAGATGGTTCGGTGTTCAGCCAGTACAACAAATTACTCGAAGTGGTGTAACAAAGTATTTTTTGACTCCAGTAGCAAAGACTCATAGTTTTATTTCGAAAATATTTTATATTTCCTGTCACAGAAAATGTAACTTACAGTGCATTTCTACATTACATATACTCTTCAAATTATTATATAGTGGTGGGTTTTTTTCTGGGTTTAAAAGTTCTGTTGGTCTAATATGCTCTGCTCTGGCGTACATGAAAAGTTCTCCTCACATAGATTAATTTTGCACCATTTCATTTGTTTCAGGATCAACTCTTGTGTAAATTTAAACTACTTTCTTAAGAATCTGTAAGAGAAGTGCTTTTAAAAGATATTTACCACATAGGTATTCTTAATAATTTCCTACGTTTGTAACAGAATGTGTGACATAAACCAAAACCAGAGGTCTTAGCTAGTTCAAGCTAGTATCGTAGGTCTGACCAAAAGCAAACTCAGTTCTCTGTGTGTAAACTTCAGTCGATTTTACAGAGGAATTAAACTATGAATGTGTTAGATCTTCATTTCAGTCCTATTCCAACGGCATAGTTGGCATAATGTTTTTTCCTATATATCAATAGTCTTGTTCTGTGCATGCATAACATTTCAATTAATACCTCCTCAGCTGCCTAAAGGTCTGATGAGGTACATGTTAGCACTTTGATTGCTTTTTCATACATTATTGCCCCTGCATTTGAGACTTGGATGTTACATGATCATGATAAGAAGTAATTACAGAAGGTAATAGTCTTTGGTGTATCCACGAAAATAGTAGTTTCTTCATTTTTATGCAACATTTGGGGACTACTTTTACCTTCCACTAAGGTTTTTTGAGGAGAACAGTGGCTCAGAGGCATATGAGAGGCATAAAATGATCTGACTATTGATAGACTGTTATTTTCAGGGTTACTGCTGAAACAAACATCTTGTTGCTGTGTCTGATGGGATGTGACATGGGTTTTTGTTACAGTTGGTAATATTCTGCCTTAAAGTCTAAATTTAACACAGACTGTAAAATGTTTTTCAGAAACTTCTAATCACATGCTATTTCACTAATATTAATAATATTTGTTTGTCCTTTTAAGACGAATGAAGAAATTGCGTCCTATGAAGAGCAGAAGTACTCGATTCTGAGAAAACTCTTAAAGCTCTTCTAACTTCAGAGCTGGAGAAAAGCATGAGGGAACAATCCGTCTGACTCAGTATCTTGCACAGAACACAAAATGGCTCTTCAAAAGAAAACTGTTGCTGGTGTCTTGGAGGAGTGGCATTTGGAGGAACCGCTGTTCGGTTGCAGACGGCACCAGAATGTTAGGAAAAAACTGAGACCAATACGAATTATAGGTCTTCTTGTTAGTGTAGTGGCCATGAGCACTTTCTCTTTTTCAATTAGTGCCTTTTTCAAGATGGAGCCACAGAGCATGGCATTGGCCAGCAGCCTCGATAGCCAAAAGCTAGTGCATGGGCACCAAAGAACTCTGTTGGATTTCACAGAACAGAATGAAAACGGCAGTCCAGACCCATCCACTGCTATGAAATATGAAGTTGAACATGACAATGCAACAGATGATCATGCCAAGGGAGAATACCCCAATGACCTTTTCTCTCTGGAGGAGAGAAGGAAGGGAGCAGTGATTCTCCATGTAATTGGAATGATTTACATGTTTATAGCCTTAGCCATAGTCTGCGATGAGTTCTTTGTTCCTTCCTTGACCGTCATAACAGAAAAACTGACTATATCTGATGATGTGGCAGGGGCAACCTTCATGGCTGCTGGTGGGTCAGCTCCAGAACTGTTCACTTCTTTAATAGGAGTGTTTATATCCCACAGCAATGTTGGCATTGGCACAATAGTGGGATCTGCTGTGTTCAATATTCTGTTTGTTATTGGAATGTGTGCTTTATTTTCTAGAGAGATCTTGAACCTTACTTGGTGGCCACTCTTTCGAGATGTGTCCTTTTACATCATTGACTTGATCTTGCTAATCATCTTTTTTCTGGATAACTTGATCATGTGGTGGGAAAGCTTAACACTTCTGACAGCATATTTTTGCTATGTGACTTTCATGAAGTTCAACGTTCAAGTGGAAGAATGGGTGAAGAAGTTTTTAAACAGGAACAAGGTTGAGAAGGTAACAGCAGCAGATGCTGAAGGAAAGGTTGGTCAGTTTTTAATTAGTATGTATGCAATAATGTCCTTATATAAGTGCTGAGTCCTTCTGTATCATACAGACCCCAATATAGCAGAGTAAGCAATATTCAACAGTTCCATGTTTTTCTAAAAAGGTCTTTATGTGTAATTCGTTCAATAGGATTGAAAATGTAAAACATGAGGCAGCCTTCTAGTAAATCAATACCTTTTAACTCCCAAACGATCCTAATCACACAGAAATCCAGAAAAAATGATAGAAAAAAGGCATAAACCCTTACTCAGCATTTTGTCGTATTGATGAGGTCTGAGATGTAGCTACTGTTTTTCTCTGTGCTTTTGGATTAAGCAATAACAATATTTGGGGAGGATTTTGTGACAAAATTTGTCTTTTTAAATATTTGTAATGCCCTTTCTTCATCAAAAAAGTGGATCACTCAGTATGCTAAGACTTTCTATACATATGTTTTATCTACTAACGCTGATTAACTTCCAGTTATAGTTAATGGCAATTACATGAAAAACTGTCTGGAAAAGCAGTGACTACAAGAGCAAAAGGCGGAAGTCCTCTGTTTAGGCAGGGGGATTAGCAAATTGATTTTTGGCCTAATGTAAGTAGGGAAGGGAATTTGTGCACAGAGGGCTCAGTGAGCCTTCAGCAAATATTACTATCTTTTAAACATCTCTTTTCTTAAAGCAGGGGACTTACGAAGGTGAACCTGTAAATGCTGATGTATGTAGCAGTATGTTAATGGAAACTTAATACTGAAACTGAAATGTCTGGGTTTATATGGGAGTTGGGTTATTCATCAGGTAAGGTTTTATTACCCACTAGTTATTCAGAGTATCAGGGAACTGTTCACTATTTCGTTTCTTTAATAGCCCTGTATGAGTAGTTCCGAAGACTCAATCCACTGATAGATCTGTGCAGGCATATAAACAGAAGGATAGAGAGATGGAGGGGGGTACCAGCCTGTGACTCACAGAAAACTGGTTATTCTGCCTATATTCCTAACTTTGAAGAGAGAGAGTGATATTTTAGCAGTATGGGCAGGTGCTTTCAGTTTTAGGACAAGCCACAAAAAGTCCACCAAAAGTCAACCCAGAAAATTCTCAGGTTTTTAAGTTGTCTAACCAAGTTTAGCACCTATACATTTACTTGCAATTTTATATTTTCCTTTTTGTTTTGTTCCAAAATCAGCATACTTAGCTTCATTTTTCTCAAAATGTGTAATTGTTGATTTTTATTTGTTTTAAGAAAATTGAAAGAACATCAACACCAACGAAGTATTTGCTTAATGAATTAATTAATGAATTAATTAATGAAATATATAATAATGAAAATAATGAAAAATAATTAATGAAATAATTATATAAATAAATAATGAAAATAATTAATGAAAGGCTTCTTTAGCTATATTAGTTGGTTTCTAAATAATGTTGTTGGGTTTTAAGTAATTCTAAATAATTTCACAGTGCACTGTAAGTACCTTGACAATTTGTGCTAAATGTGTGTAATGATAGAGACTATGGTGTATAAAGTAACTGTTTAATGTACTTTCATCTGCCCATAAACTGGATATGAAGGAGGTCTGAATCTATAACTTAATATAATTGTCTTAAACAATACTCCATGTGAAAAGCAACTGTTTGGGTTGTCCAGACTATAGGGTGGAGTAGAGTAGCTATAAACCATGGTAAGCATTCTGTTATTCTCTACTGGTTAGAAGAAAAATCATTTGCAGGTCATATTGAACAGAATAAATCCTTAAAGTACTTTAGATGCACTTGATTTTTAAAAAGATACCTTTAGGAGCACTCACTTAGTGTTTGATATATTTTTCTTAGAGCTTAGTCATATTATAGGTTCACAGAGTTCAGATGGAGATGAAAAAAAACCAAACAGCTGGAAAAACAGTGACTACAAGAGCAAAAAACCCACAAGCTTTGCTTCATATGTTTCATTAAGATATTTTTCCTCAATTAACTTAAAGTTAATTAAAATAATAAAATAATGTATTTGTAAAACTGATGGGTAGAGGGGGATGAAAGAGGTGCTCTAATTTTGCTGCAACTTAGCTAATATGCACTTTCTGCTTACTGGGAAAGTAGGTTCTGAAAGTATCAAACCATGTATTTCCTTTATAAAACATCATGTAAAGACATGTTTTGAATATTCATCTAACACTTTGAAATTATAACTCGTAAAATCTAACAACTTTGCTGTTCCATTCAACAGCATCTAGCAGGGTGAATGAACTTATTTGATAGCAAGGATGTCACAGATCAAGTTCTTTGGAAAGAATCTGACTGAATTTATGTATTCATATATTTATTGTTATTAGATAATTTATTTGTTGCTTTTTGTATTAAAAAAAAAAAAGAAAAGAAAAATAGAAAAGAAAAATGGTGACATTTAATCCCAGGCCTGATAGAAATGTCCAAGAATTTAGCTTGGAAGTTTTTGCCTATAACAAAGGATAAAATGTTATTGTAGTCTGGGATTGAGTGCCTAGTCCGAGTACTAGTGCCTGGTAGTGATTGCAATGCACATGGGTGCTTATTTCCTACCCAGTAAGGATTGTAAGTATTGTGTAAATGATACGCTTGGCTTTTAGTGGCAAATGTTGTTTCATTTTTACAGTATTAGCCGTTAGCCTAGTTTGCTTCCAGTCATCACAAGTGTGCTGTGTCAATGCAAAATAAGATTGTATACAATCGAATTAGTATATCAAATTCAGAATTTGTGATCCCAGTTATTTCTAATGAAAATTTCTTCACTTTTTTTTTTTCTGTAGTATGTCGGTGAATTGCTAAAGGCAGGTCTCTGAAATTGATGAGTTGGAGTGGAAAGTTCTAATAACTTTCTTTGCTTCTCTCGTTCTCTTATTCTCTCTCTTTTGTTCTCTATTTCGTTGAAATAACTTTATTACAGGAATATATACAAAATTCTCTTCTTTCCTCTAACCAACGATTCTCCTGCCTATCTGTTGTTGATTCTGTTGTTGCCAAGCTGGCAAGTGTTCTGCTAAAAAACGTGCCTGCTGTATTTATCTTTAAGACTTTGTTGTTGTAATCTGAAAGCCGCTCAACAAAGTTGAGAGGTCTAAATAAAGAATCATAAAGCTGGATAGTTGAAGGGTTAGGTGGCTTATTAGCAAACAAGTATCAACGAGTAAAAAATCTCATCAGATGAAAACCTCTTGAGATACTAAAATGTACTTTAGTACTAATTTCAGTACTTTTATTATTAGTCATCTTGAAATGTTGAAGAAAGTTTTACATTCTTAAGGACAGTATTTCCCATGAGAAAAATATACGAAATTAATTATCTGTTTAGCTGTCATTTGTTCTAGATGTATTAATTGGGTTGCTGTAATGCATATGTATCTCTAGATGTCTTGTAGATTCCTTTCTCTCTTCCCTGTTTATAAAACTAAAGCACTTCTTTTTTGGTACTAGAAAACTGTGACTATTCATACTTACCTTTTTTTTTTTTTTTCTGATTTCACTTTCTTTGGCATGTCAGTTACTTTTAAAAATGTGAATGCAGACGATGTGAATTTAATTGTGCTTCGTATTTGCCTTCAGAAGCTTTCAAACAAATGCAGTCTGGTTTATCAAAGGATACAGGTTGAGAAAATCTGATAACTTGAATTTTGGCAACAATTTAGTGACAGAGATGAGAACAGACTACAATGGTTCTGCATTTAATGTTCATGGGGTGCATTTTTTGAACTGTGGATAGCTTCATGCCCTGTCTCACCCTTAAGGAAGCCTGATACTGATAAACTCCATAGATCTCTGAGGCAAGGATGAAAAAAAGAAGGAAAGGTGAAAAAGCGAGGCAGCATGAAAGGACAGAATAAAAACCAGATGGCAAAGTCCCACAATATAGGGTGGCATGTGGCATATGCAGACCAAGATGGGTCCCTGACAAATGACACTGAACCCTGTGGGATGCCCCAAATGGTCCCTATAGTAGGTAATGTGGTCCTACCACCAGATACCTCTGAAAGTCCCTTCAAGCCTAATTTACTCTGTGGCATAATTTTTAGGTTTTATGCAGTTATCCTGCAAAGAACAGATGATATTTTAGGACTGGGGAGGAAACTGATGTTATTTCTACATCTTCCTCAGTTAAGTGAAGATGTTTAAAAACAGAAGCTTGAAATTTAGTATAATGGACAGGAAGACAACAGTGGGAAAAGCTGATATACAAAATTCTTAAAAATAAGACTTTTTTTGACCTTCTTCTAAGGCTTCAGTCTTTTTTTCAAAGTCTGTACTGTGAAGGCATGTTGATTATATTAGCTCATGGTAACACGTTATGTGAAATTACATTTCATTTTCAAGTACTTTTTTTCTTCAGCGTAGCATGGACTTCACTGCAGAATTACTTGAATGTGATCACTCAGTAAATAACTCGAAACAGTTCTGTTTGGCAACTGAGAGAACAGAATGTGGGTGGCACAGGGATATTGTGCTGTGACATCTGTTTCACTGACAGCACCATTTTAGATAAATACCTTATGGTATATACAAGACAGTTGCAGTTTTTCTACATTTACAGAGAACTGCATTTGGAAAATGAGCTATTTTTACCAACAACACATAGTTTGACATTATTTTATTGCCAATTTTGTTGTGTTAAGAAACTTGAATAGCTTGTGTGTGATATTTAAAGATCTATACTGATCTCAAGTGTTGCCTCATTGTATTTAATGGTGGTATTTGCATTCTAAAGGAAAAGTTTTAAACGGTATTTTTAGGTACTTCTCTAATTGGTTGCTGTATTAACAGTGCAACAGCAGTCACTGTTATAATGTATGATCTATGTGTTTAAGGGAAAACATAAATTACCTGCATGCATGCAGGAAAAAATGGAGTGTGCGAAAGATCCACTTCTGTAGTTGCTTGGAACTCCTGTGTAGTTCTTTGTCAGGGTTTCTTAATGTTGAATCCACAAACTCAGTAAAGGTAACTCAATCTGTAGAATAGCTCTTCTCTTACCACCACATTTTAAAGTAGTATTTCATACTCAAAGGGAGATCAGAGTTTTATTCAACAGGCTTTTCACAGTTGGCCTACTTGTACAAACATGTGTGAATGAATATAGAGCTATGAGTGTGTGGATCTTGCATTCCAATGTATCCAAGATGGTTTCATTGTTTATGTACTTTTGGAACATGAGCATCATCACTGTCCTTGTACCATGTTTTGTTTTGTTAAAAGCCTGGATTAAAATTATCATAGAA